GGGAAGGAAGGAAGGAAGGAAGGAAGGAAGGAAGGAAGGAAGGAAGGAAGGAAGAGAAAAGAAAAAAAAGTTTTATATCAGAAATGGTTACTTAGTTATAAGTTTAGAAGCACAGTTTACTTTATATGTTGCTAGACTGAGAAAGTGTTTCCCCTACGGCCTCTGATAGAAATGTATCAACCTCATAAGATACTAAGTGTCCATCTACAGCTTGTTGCAACGGACTGCTTTTGTAGAGTAAGAACTCTCGAGCCATCTGTTGGAAACTTTCTTATCACATACATATACGCTGTCAGTCTTTGGAGTCAAAAAATTTGAAGGGAAAATCAAAGTATTCCCTAAGACCCAACCCCTGCTCCTCTGTACAGCCACCCTGTTGCTTCACAGCATGCTGAGGACAGCTCGGCTGGCCTTTCTGGCCTCGCTTCCTTCTTAGAGATATACAGGCTTTGTCCTTTGGCTGGTTCCTCCAGTCCCTAAAGCCCAGTTGTTTAGTTTCTATACTGCTATCCTAGTGGTGACTTTTGTCCTCAGCTTCCATCAGCTTCCAGTTCAAGATCTCCCGGCATCTTATCCTCTCCCTGGCCCTGACAACACCCTTCTTTAGCCTGCCTCTTACGTTTTCCAGCAGGATACTATTTGTTTCTTCTCCTTCAGAGTTGGCTTTATTTCACAAGTTACCTGTTTCTGAAAAAAAAAAAAAAATCCTGAGAGGACTTGAAGGTCCCCTATAGTATCAGTGGCAACGCAGGGCTCACGAGACACTTTTCACATTCCCAACCAGAACTTGCTGTGTAGCCCAGCAGGTGTGATAGCCACAGTCCTGCCTCAATTTACCAAGTACTGAGATTGCAGAAATGTGACACGATATTCGATGCCAACAAGGTTTTTCTCAACCAGTCAGATTAAGTCACCATCTTTAATAATGCTACTGGGCACATAGTAGGTGCCCAGAAAACATTTATTGAGCAAATATGCTTATTCTTCTTAATGAGGATGAGAGAAGGTTAAAATGGTGGATCCTGACAGTCACACCCAAGTCTCCATCCTGGCTCTGCCACTTTGTGTTCCATAATTCTAAATTACTACATTGGAGAATGGGGGTGGGGGAGGGGTGGATTCTTCAGCATAAAAATAGTATCTACCTCATAGGTGTTACAAAGATTGAATAGTCTTCTCCAGAGCATCTTCCACACTGGGATGGTGCCAGTAGCCATGCGTAGCTATGATTACCGATGCTCTGTCCTAGGTCTCAGGATCCGTGTTTGCTCACAATTCTCCCCCACAGCGAAAGTGTTTCTCTTCTTGGGGATTGTCCGAATTTTGTTTCTATTGCTGCGATGAAAAGCAACTCTTTCAGTTTA